GCTGAGAATTTTATCCAATGTTGCCTCTGAAGAGGAAAAAAATTTTTTCAGAGTGGTTCTTTTGCCGACAACAGAAGCGATAATTTTTTGACTTCAAAGTATGACTATTACTTTACACAAATTTTATTAAAAAATGATGCGATACTTTCAAAAAAAAAAAAAAAAAAATACTTACAATTTTTTATAACGGCGGAGAAGAATTTATTATTGCTGCTAATCATTTTTTTCTTCCTTAAAAAACTATCGTTACTAGAACGTTTTTTTTCCCTAAAATTTTTACTTATTTTTTTCGAAAAATACAGCAAGTTTTTTCCATTTTATCAGCTTCAGTTTTAATAAATTCTACTGAGACTTTTCTGACAAATAAACGAGTAAAATATGTCATTTTAATAGAAAATTACTGTCTGATATTTTGATTACCGACTAAAAGTCATCAAAAAACATAACTGTTTAAGCATTATATTTTGTACTGACATAATTACTAAGCTTTCTGATATTTCTTTTCTCTACAGTTTTTGTAAGCATTCTTCAGAGTTATCCTCTAATTTTGATAAAGCATTTTACGACTTTACAGTTTATTGCTTTCCGGGCACTAATCATAGTGTATGTTGATCGCTGAGAAAAAGCAGTTTTTTGATTTATGCTCAACACAAACTTTAAACGCCTAAAATATTTCTGATGAAAAGTACGAAGTCTTAGGATCAACACATAACTGAAGTATTTTCATCTGCGTCGTGAGGCGACTCAGCTTTCAACTTCTGACAAAATAAATACTGTTGTTTACTCAGCTATACCACCTGTGGTACCTTATCAATACGTCTTCAGTTAGAGCTGAACGAAGCTTTTACATTATTAACCTATTCTTTAGTCAGAAGATTTGCTTCCTGTTTCAACCGATCGTTTTCTTCCTTTATCTGGTTCACTTCATTTTGTGTGAAAACGATATGTTTTTAGAAGGTGCTACAATAAGCCATGAACAATCAAAAATTATTTATTATAGTTGCAAAATTTTGTCTCCACCTCTAACAGGTGTCATCTGTTGCAAAAAAAAAAGAAAAAAAAAAGAAAAAAAAGCAAATAAACAAATCAAACAAACTTAAATTTACTCATAGTTTTCCTCAGCAACAAAACTTTGTTTTCTGTTATATGCTTTAAAAAAAAAAATGTACTACAAAAGATTGTTTTTCTGCTTCTGTTAATGTTCTATTACAGCAATTATTTTTTCCATATGCCTATCAGACTTTAAGACTTTATTTGTGACTAGATATTTTATTTTAGAGCTATAAAAAAGTAGAAGAAGAAAGTCAACAATGCTTTTTTGCTCCTATTTATTTTTTTATTTATTTATTTTTTTTTT